CACTTCTCTCCGGGTCCCCGGCAGAGGACACGCCTCACACCTGCGGGAGAACGCACTGTTATTAGGCTGCGATCACCACCAGTCCAAAGGACCCGGAAGGGCCCGGAAGGGGAACAGCGCGGGAAAGGGCGAGAGGAGAAAGGCCTGCTCCAGGAGAGTCCCGAGGTGGCAAGACTGGCGAGCAAGGCTCTCAGCAGCCTCCTCGCTAGTCTGCTCCAGTCCCTTCACCCTGCAGCAGCGGCTGATGTGAAGCCTTGATTTGCTTGTCCCATCTCACACGTGGAAGACCCCCACCCCCACCCCCACGCAGGAGCACCGCCCTGCTTCCAAGAGTCCCTCGGCCCCAACCTTGTGCGGTGTCCGCTTTCTGTACTAACTCTTCTCATCCTTAAAATTCATCTGAGATATCACTTCCTCCTAGAAGCCCTCCCGGGCCACCTTAGGCCAGCTCCATCAGCCTGTCTGTATCTCTGTGACTACCCTCACCAAACCTGCTGCACCATTTGTCCGTGTCTGCTCCCCACACTTATTCAAGGCAGTGTGTTTGCTGAAGGCAAGGGCTGGGTCCTGGCCACTGTTTTAGTTCCAGCACATGACAATGACAATGACATCGGTGGAGGGCAGGCACCTGTAGTGCCCAAGGCTTTAGATGAATGGTTAAGGTAAGGAAAATTCTTTTTTGTTGTTGTTGTTGAGTTGGAGTCTCACGGTTGCCCAGACTGGAGTGCAGTGGCCGCTCCCAGCCACTGCAGCCTCGACCTGCGGGGTTCCGGTGATCCTTCCACCTCAGAGGAAAATTCTTATGGCCAGTCACAGTATCTGAGTCTGAATCCAAACACTAGTGAGGATTTATTGATTGAATGCATGTACTGGTGACGGTGATGGAAATAAACTAATCTCTGAGATGGTGGGGGTGTGGCAGGATGGCTACCCTTCTCTGCCAGAGCCACCCCTTCCTGCCACCCTCACTCACCACAGGCATCTCCCCTCCTCTTCTTCTGGGTCTCACCTCAGCCTCCCCAATGCCCAGCCACTCGTGTGCCTTTAAAATAAATGTCAAGCTGGGCTCGGTGGCTCAGCCTGTAATCCCGCGCCTTTGGGAGGCTGAGGTGAGTGGATTGCCTGAGCCCACGGGTTCGAGACCCGCCTGGGCAGCGAGACCTCATCTCTACAATAAATCAAAAAATCAGCGTGGTAGCATGTGCCTGTAATTTCGGCTACTCGGAAGGCTGAGGTGGAAGGATTGCTGGAGCCCTGCAGGTTGAGGCTGCGGTGGCCGGGAGCGGCCACTGCACTCCAGTCTGGGCGACAGAGACTCCAACTCAAAAAAAAATAAATGTCCCTCTGTCCCCAACCTGCCCCACTCTCCCTCCATGTGGCCTCATGCTGACTGCCATTAGTAACCCCTCGGGACTTCACATCCCTCCTTCCCATGGGCTAAGCCCTGGTCCACAGACCTTCACACCTGTCCTTTCTGAGCGATCAGTGTACTGCTGAGGGACCAAAGATGAGTGCCTCAACACTGGCTGGCCCACAGCTGCCTGGCAACCCTCCAGGCCCCTCTCTGCCCCCTTCCAGCCTCTAACCTACTCTGTGCTCAGGTGATCTAATGTCGTAGTTTGCAGTGAAAAGGGAAGCTGTCAAGCCATGGCCCCTGAGGGTCGCTCCCTCCCTGTGTCCAAGCGTTCCCCACCCACTGTTCCCTGGCCAGTGATGTCCTCTTGGGGCCCTCCCCTGCTGAAGGCTCTTTGGGCACATTTCTCTTCCCTCTTCCCTGTCAAGGCCCTTCCAAAGTGGTCCACACTCGCCATCCCCACTCCGTCCACCTCCCTGGCCCTCTCTCATGGGGTGACACAGTCACAGCCTGCCCTCTCTGGACACGCATGGCTCCTGCTTCCCTGCGTCACTCCTCCAAGTCGTCTCACTCGCTCACCGGGTTTCTTTCCTCCTCTCTGGCTGCTATCAGTCATCCTGGTGGGTTCCTCAGGCTCATCCCTTGAGTGCTGCTGTCATCTGGGCCGGGGCCCCATCTCCTCTCACACAGCCCCTGCCCAAGCCATCTTGCTGTGCCCTCAACCACCCCAAGACTCTCTCCAGCCCAGACTGCCCTCCAGGGCCTCCCAAACCTCCACACACCTCAATCCACCTTGGTCAGAAGGGAACTTGCCCTCTCCATTCCCCCCACAACCAGCTCCTCCTGGGTGCTCCTCTGGGACAAGGCATGTCCTGGCTCCTTCATGCTCTGGGGAACATCCTGGAACCCGCCCCTCCCAAACAAGCCCTGTGAGTCTGTCTTCCATATATCACTAGGGTCTACCCACCTTCTTTGCCCATGGCCATAAATCTGTCAAGGACTGCACCATCTCACCTGCACAACTGTAGTGCCCCTACCATCTCTCTCTGTCTCTCTCTCTGTCTCTCTCTCTCTCTCTCTCTCTCTCTCTCACAC